GAGTCGGGCCAGGGACTGAGTGGGTCCGGGAAGGAGAGAGGGAAGGCCGCGCGCCGACCCAAGCAGGCTGCCCGGAGTGGGCAGCCGCGGTGCCCCACAGGCTCGGGTGGCGGGTTGCCGGTCCAGCCCGCCTTCCTCGGTTTATCCGCTCTCTCAGCGGACGTGTGGCAGGGTGTCCGGAGGTAGCGGCTCCCGGAGGCTCTGTCCCCTCCTGCCGCCCTTGAATCCTGGCCGCTCCGTTCAAAGCCCCTGGTGGCTGGTCTGCAGAATGGGATAGGGGACGGGGCGGGCGGGGCCGCTCGGGAGGGTCAAGTGAGGTCACGCCTGTGGTGAGGCGCCGGGGTCCGCTTCCGAACCGCTTGACGGCGCTGACGAGTTTCACTTCGTGCACTTCCTCTGTGCCAGCCGGTGCTGAGGACACCGGACCTCAGTGGGGGCAAACGATGGACAGAGGAAGCCTGGTGCTTAAGAGAGTCGCAGTAGGAGGAGCACAGGGCAGCTCGGAGTATGGCACCTGGGCGGTGGCGGGGGAAGGGTTAGGCGAGGAAACGTGCAGGTTCAGACGTGGGCCTCCTGCTGGGAGGTTAGCAGAGTCCTGCTGGACCCCCAGGCCCTGGCAGGGAGAGGCAGAGTGGGCGCAGCCTCAGCCATGAGATCCCAGGGTCTCAGAGGCAGGTGAGCAGCTCCCTGCAGGTGCGCTCTGACCTGGCACTGCCCATCTGCAGCCCCGAGGCAGAGCGTGCGCGACCCCGGCAGGCCCGGGCAGCAGCCCCCATGGAGGGTGCGGTGCAGCTGCTGAGCCGAGAGGGCCACACTGTGTCCCACAACTCCAAGCGGCACTACCACGATGCCTTCGTGGCCATGAGCCGCATGCGGCAGCGTGGCCTCCTGTGTGACATCGTCCTGCACGTGGCCGCCAAGGAGATCCGAGCACACAAGGTGGTGCTGGCCTCCTGCAGTCCCTACTTCCACGCCATGTTCACAAGCAAGTACCACCTCACCCAGCCTGGGCACGTGGGGGCGGGGGGGGCTCTGCGGACCTCCCAGGGCTGGGTTGGTCTGACCCGCTGTCCCCACAGATGAGATGAGCGAGAGCCGCCAGACGCACGTAACTTTGCATGACATCGACCCTCAGGCCTTGGACCAGCTGGTGCAGTTTGCGTACACGGCCGAGATCGTGGTGGGCGAAGGCAACGTGCAGGTGAGGCCGCCTCATCCCTCACGCCCTGTACCCCCACCTGGTCTCCTCCCCCGGGCTCTGCCTTTACCCTCAGGGTCACTTCTGTCTCCACCTCACTCTGTTCCCTCAGTTCTCACATCCCGTTTCTCTGTCCCTGCTCCCTGGTCCTCTCTCCTACCTCGCCCCACAGACTCTGCTCCCAGCCGCCAGCCTTCTGCAGCTGAACGGCGTCCGTGACGCCTGTGAGTCAGCTCGACCCCTCCAACTGTCTGGGCATCCGGGGCTTCGCCGACACGCACTCGTGCAGTGACCTGCTCAAGGCGGCACACAGGTACGTGCTGCAGCACTTCGTGGACGTGGCCAAGACTGAGGAGTTCATGCTGTTGCCGCTGAAGCAGGTAACGTGCCAGCGCGGGCACAGCCTTGGCCTTGGCCCTGCCCCAGCCCCCAGAACCCCGGCCTCCATCGTCGGGACCCTTAAGACTTGGCCCTTTGTTCCTTAGCCCTCGTTCCCGGCCTCTGACCCGTGTCCCAGCCCCTCCTTGGCTGCCCTCCTTGTGTCCATCTTCTGACCCTACCCAAGCCTTCACCTTTGACTCTCGACCACATACCTGCCTGCAACCCCAGTCCCTGGTTCCACGTCCCCAGGACTGCTCTGAGCCTAGGACCACACGAATTGGCTCTGTGGCTCCTGACCCTGCTTGGCCCCTCCTCATAGGAATACTAGGTCCCCCCGCCCATTGGACTCTCCCTCCCAGGCATCTTCAGGGCTCCATGGGCCCCCAAGAACTCCCCCCGATCTCAGGTCTGAGGGTCCCCACCCCCAGGTGCTGGAACTGGTCTCTAGCGACAGCCTGAACGTGCCTTCAGAGGAGGACGTCTACCGTGCCGTCCTAAGCTGGGTCAAGCATGACGTGGATGCTCGGAGGCAGCACGTCCCACGGGTTAGGCCAGCCCCTGGGGGTGGGGCACTATATCGAGGAGGTGATGCAGTGGCTGAGGGCCTGGGTGTGCCTGGGCTGCCCCATGTACAGGGGTACCATTAGGGTGATGCAGGCGCATGTCTCAAGAAGTATAAGCATATAGGTGGACAGGTGTCTGAAAGGGGGTCTCAGTACTGGGGCAAGGTGTGCCCATGGGTCCTGCCTGCTACTGACCATGGCGCCCCTGCACCCCAGCTGATGAAGTGTGTACGTCTGCCCCTGCTGAGCCGAGACTTCCTGCTGGGCCACGTGGACGCCGAGAGCCTGGTGAGGCACCACCCGGACTGCAAGGACCTGCTCATCGAGGCCCTCAAGTTCCACCTACTGCCGGAGCAGAGAGGCGTCCTAGGCACCAGCCGCACACGGCCCCGGCGCTGTGAGGGCGCCGGCCCTGTGCTCTTTGCTGTGGGTACGCTGTCCTGTCCCGTGCCCCCACGTCCCCTCCCTTTCCACGCACATCTCTGCCCTGTATCCTCGATTCGTGAGCCCAGCACCAGCCCACTCCACCCATGCTAGTCGCATCTTGCACACATCCCACACCTGCTCCGCCGTCCCCCTGGGGGAACCCTGTGTGGTATGACCCACTCACAAGTGCCCATCCCCACCCTTGGAGCCCCCATACCCTTGACCTCGAGCTGTGCTCGCGTCCCCAGACTGTGGCCTCCCTGGGCCCCTTGTCCTGTCCCATCACCTCCCCCTCTCTAGGGGGTGGGAGCCTGTTTGCCATCCATGGAGACTGTGAAGCCTACGACACACGCACTGACCGCTGGCACATGGTGGCCTCCATGTCCACACGCCGAGCCCGGGTGGGCGTGGCGGCAGTCGGGAACCGGCTGTACGCTGTGGGCGGGTAAGCGTGGAGGCTGGTCTCAGGTCGGGCTCAGTGTATGTCCACTGGGCCAGCCCTGACGACATTGGACTCCTCCCCTAGTTACGATGGGACTTCAGACCTGGCCACCGTAGAGTCGTACGACCCTGTGACCAACACCTGGCAGCCCGAGGTGTCCATGGGCACGAGGCGCAGCTGTCTGGGTGTGGCCGCCCTGCACGGGCTCCTCTATGCAGCTGGTGGCTATGATGGGGCCTCGTGCCTCAACAGGTAGTGGCTGGGCTCAGGGCCGGGTGGCCTTTCGGGGTCAACTCAGCAGCAGGTGTGGCCATAGCAGGACTGCAGAGGCCGTACCTCAAGGGGAGTAAGGAGGGAACCCGCCCAACTCAAGTAACCAGGCTCCCCTAGACCTCTTCGTCTGCGCCACCCCACCTGGCCCTTTCTTTCCTCTCTGGGGTCCAGCCCACCAGTCCAGGGACAGGGCCCAGGTGGACACTTGCCCAGGATCATCCAGGCAGCCAGGGGCCCATGTGTACCCAGCAGGCCTGCTTCCTGCCCCAGTGGGACTCTGGGATCAGTTTCAGTGATTTCCCAGCACAGGGGAGGGCAGGTCCTGATCTGCCACTGCTCAGGGTCAGCAGTGTTGCGGGCGTCCACAGTGCCGAGCGCTACGACCCCCTGACGGGAACTTGGACATCCATTGCCGCCATGAGCACCCGAAGGCGATACGTCCGTGTGGCCATGCTTGGTGGGTGACAGGGCTTGTTCGCTGTAGTGCCCGCCCCTCCCCGCCCCCATTTTGGAGACCCCACACACAGCGGGCGCATCATGGCACGTTGACTCTCTGCAGATGGGAACCTGTACGCTGTGGGCGGCTACGACAGTTCATCACACCTGGCCACTGTGGAGAAGTATGAGCCCCAGGTGCGAAATACCCCAACCCCATGCAGTCCCCTTCCCAAGGGCTGCCTGACATCGTCACTCTGGCCCCCCACATCCCTCAGCGCGTCAGCCCTTTAGGTCCCACCCCTGTCCCATGGACACCCACGCTGGAGTAGGGGGTCTCTACTATAGAGGTGGAGGGAGGCCGGTGACGGGTCTGCCCCCAGCGGGTCCCCTTGACCGCAGGTGAATGCGTGGACACCAGTGGCTTCCATGCTGAGCCGGCGCAGCTCAGCTGGTGTGGCGGTGCTGGAGGGGTCTCTCTATGTGGCTGGCGGCAATGATGGCACCAGCTGCCTCAATTCTGTGGAAAGATACAGCTCCAAGGCTGGTGCCTGGGAGAGTGTGGCGCCCATGAACATACGAAGGTGCGCTGTCCCCCAGCCCACAGGCTGGGAGTATCACCACCACAGAGACTAACAGATGTGTCCCATGGTCTCACCCCTGCCTGCTGTGCCCCTCCGCCTCCTGTGCCACCCGCTCTCTCCCGTGCAACCCCTCTCCAACTCCAGCCCCAGCTCGGGTGGCGGCTCCACCCATGCCCCGTGGCCCCAGCGCACGCTCCTCCCATTACCTGTGGCCCCTCCCCGGGCTCCACCCCCTCTCCGGCTCCTCCCTCGGCCTGTGGCCCTACCCAGGGCTCCACTTCCAAACTCCTCCCATGGCCCCGTGGACCCACCCCCGGGCTCCTCCCACGACCTCTACCCCGCCCACCGGCTGATGCCCACCTGCTCCTCCGTCAGGAGCACCCATGATCTGGTGGCCATGGACGGCTGGCTGTATGCCGTGGGAGGCAATGACGGCAGCTCCAGCCTCAACTCCATCGAGAAATACAACCCGAGGACCAACAAGTGGGTGGCTGCTTCCTGCATGTTCACGCGGCGCAGCAGCGTCGGCGTGGCCGTGCTGGAGCTGCTCAACTTCCCGCCGCCCTCTTCGCCCACGCTGTCCGTGTCGTCCAACAGCCTCTG